AGGTGAGCCATTTTCCCAACAATCTCCACCATGGCGAGCCTAATACTCCTTGTGGACATCATTGCCTTCCAGGACATCTGTAATGTCTTGAGAATCGTCCTGATAACTCTCAAGAACTCCACCTCAATCTTTAGCATGTAATAAGATTGAGCAAGCTCAAACAATGCTTGAACTTTGCTGTTGTGACTGGCTTCGTTAGACAATCTGAAGCGTTCTCCTTTGTGTGAACCTTCATTATAGTGATGTCTCCATCATTCATCCAATCCCTTATCCGGTGGTATCTCACATCAATGTGTTTGGACCTTCCATGGAACACTTGATTCTTCACTAAACATATAGCACTTTGACTGTCACTTTGAATCACCACCAAGTCTTGAGCTATCCCGAATTCCTTTGCCAATCTCTTCAGCCATACCGCTTCTTTTGAAGCTTCCGTTAACGCCATATACTCCGCTTCCGTAGTAGACAAGGCACTAACCGATTGTAACACTGCTCTCCAACTAATCGGTCCTCCACCACAAGTGAAATGATGTCTCCATCGTTCACCCAATCTCTTATCCGGTGGTACCGAACATCAATGTGTTTTGATCTTCCGTGGAATGCTTGATTCTTCACTAGGTGTATAGCACTTTGACTATCACTTTGTATCACCACCAAGTCTTGGGCAAACCCGAATTCCTTTGCCAATCTCTTCAGCCACACCGCTTCCTTTGAAGCTTCCGTTAGCGCCATATACTCCGCTTCTGTAGTAGACAAGGCACTAACCGATTGTAACACCGCTCTCCAACTAATCGGTCCTCCACCACAAGTGAAGACATATCCTGTGGTGGATCTCCTCTTGTCTAGATCTCCTGCATAATCAGAATCTACATACCCCGACACACATGCCTTTCCTTGTTGTCTTTCAAACAATATCCCAAGCCTTTTGGTGCCCTTCAAGTACCTGAGAATCCATTTTGCTGCTGTCCGATGTTGCCTTCCAGGATTCGCCATATACCTTGACACCTCACTAACGGCTTGGGCTAAGTCGGGGCGTGTGCACACCATTGCCTACATGAGACACCCTACCAAGCTTGCATATGGAACTTTGCTCATTTCTTCTTTCTCTTCATCTGTAGAAGGACAATCCTGCGCACTTAATTTAAAATGCTCCGCCAAAGGAGTAGACACCGGCTTGCAATCCATCATATTGAACCTTTCAAGTACCTTGGAAATGTACTTGCTTTGTGACAGCCACAACTTGCCTTCCTTTCTGTCTCTCCTTATCTCCATTCCTAGGATCTTTTGTGCAGCACCAAGATCCTTCATGTCAAACTCCCTTCCAAGTAATGTCTTCAAATTCTGGATTTTTGACATGTCTTTACATGCAATTAGCATGTCATCAACATAAAGAAGCAAAAGGATGAAGTTACCATCCTTGAATGCATGAGAGTAAACACAACAATCAGATTCACATCTTCTATACCCAATCTTCATCATGTAAGAATCGAAGCACTTGTTCCACTGTCTTGGAGATTGCTTCAGCCCATACAAAGACTTCTTCAACCTGCAAACCAGATTTTCCTTCCTTGCTTCAATGAACCCTTGAGGTTGGCTCATGTAGATGTCTTCCTCCAATTCCCCATGAAGGAAAGCAGTCTTCACATCCATTTGCTCCACCTCCATGTCCTCTTGTGCTACTATGGAGAGTAGTAGTCGTATAGAAGTATGTTTCACCACCGGAGAGAAGATTTCATCATAATCAACTCCCTCCTTTTGCAAGCATCCTTTTGCCACCAACCGAGCTTTGAATAAGGTGGCACCCTTGTCATGCATTTCTTCTTTCTTCCTAAACACCCATTTGCAGCCAATAACCTTGCGACCTTTGGGTTTAGGAACTAAGTCCCAAACTGAGTTTTGGTGTAGAGATTCCATCTCTTGCATCATAGCTTCCATCCAACTTTCCCGTTCCTTGTTCTCAACAGCTTCTTGGAACGTGGTTGGTTCTTCTTCACTAGCATTTAGGGCATAGTGAACTGCATCCGTCTCCCATCCAAACCTTTGAGGTGGTTTGATGGTTCTCTTGGGTCTGGACCGAGCTATAGATGATGGCTCCACCTGTTCTTGAGCCTCTTCTTCTTCTTGAGTGTGTTGTTGATGCTGCCCAGCTTCTTCCTCTTCAATGTCGGACTCCACCTCCTCCTGAACGTCTTCAGTTGGCTGTTTCTGAGTAGTCTTTCTTGACACCTTCTTGAGTGGAACTTCAATGGTTGTTTCTTTCTGAACAACATCCTCCTTTGCCTCTGAATTCTTGACTTTGTTCATAGGTATGGTCTTCTCATCAAACACAACATTTCTGCTGAGTATCTTCTTGTGGTTCACTAGATCCCACAGCTTGTAGCCCTTACTGGATCCCACAGCTTGTAGCCCTTCACACCACTCTCAAATCCAATGAAAATACATTCAAGAGACTTTGGCTTCAACTTGGATCTTTCATCACTAGGAATAAGTGCAAATGCACTGCACCCAAACACCTTAAGATTCGAATAATCAATTGACTTATTAGACCATACCTCCTCTGCACACTTGAACTCAAGATTTCTTGAAGGCGATCGGTTAACCAAATAGGCAGCGTGGTTAACCGTTTCTGCCCAAAAAGATTCGGGCAACCCTGCATGAATTCTCATACATCTCTCACGCTCCATGAGAGTTCGGTTCATCCTCTCTGCAGCTCCATTTTGTTGGGGTGTCTTCTTCACGGTAAAGTGCCTCTTAATGCCTTCACTTTTGCAAAACTCAAGGAACTTGCTGTCCTTATATTCACCACCATTGTCACTCTTTAGGATCTTGATCTTTCTTCCGGTTAGGTTCTCTACTTCCGCCTTCCACTCTTTGAATTTGGTGAAGACCTCAGATTTCTCCTTCATGAAGTAGACCCAAACCTTCCTGGAAAAATCATCCAAGAAAGTCACAAAATAGCGAGCTCCACCCTTCGATTTAACCGGTGATGGCCCCCATACATCCGTGTGAATATAATCTAGCACACCCGTGCTTTCTTCCTCTTTGTTTCGCTGCTTGAAAGCTATTTTTGATTGCTTTCCCATGGTACAAAATCTGCAGAACTCAAGCTTGCAACTTTGAACACCTTTCAACAATTTTCTATTGTGTAGTTCCAGCATGCCCCTCTCACTCATATGCCCTAGCCTCAAATGCCAAAGCTGAGTTTCATCTTCCGAGTCCTTGCTTGTAGATACAGCTGCTCCACCTATGATTGTTGTACCACACAACCTATATAGACAGTTAGGTTGTATCTCTCCCTTCATAATCACAAGTGAACCCTTTGAGACTATGAGTTTCCCTCCATTTGCTTTGAATGAATAACCATTCTTATCAAGAGTTCCAAGGGAAATGAGATTCTTACGCAACTTCGGAATGTGCCTCACCATTCCAAGCGTCCTAACAGCCCCATAATGCATCTTCACCTTGATTGTACCGGTGTCTTTGACTCTACACATTGAGCCATCCCCCATCATCACTTCACTGCTGTCTTCTTTCTCATATGTGTCAAACCACTCCTTGTTTGAGGACATATGATATGAGCATCCGGAATCCAAAATCCAATCGGAAGAGGAACACCTTGAAGAATTAGCCAATGCATTTGTTTTAACATTGCTATTAACACACAAAAGCTCACCATCACTTTCCGTGACATCCTCCGCTGTGTTTGCTGCATTCTTCCCTTTGTTCTTCTTCTCCTTCCATATGGGGCAATTCTTTTTCCAATGCTCCTTTGACCCACACTCGAAACAACCATCTTTCGCCTTGGATTTGGACCTTCCTCTGTTACCTTTCTTGCCTTCACGCTTCTTTGAACGGCCTCTCTCTCCGGTCTTTGCAACTAGACCTTCGCCTTGAGAGTTTTCTCCCGAACGTTGAGTCATCCTATGGTGTGTCATGATGTCTTGCACCACATATTCAAAATCAAGAGTAACCTTTCCAAACATAAGAGTGGTTCGGAAGTGTTTATAGGACGAAGGTAAGGATGTCAACAACATGAGAGCCTTATCCTCCGGACTATAATTCACATCCATTCTCTGCAAGTCAGCAACACATCTATTGAAACTACTTAGATGTTCCATTAGATTTCCTCCCTCCTCCATCTTAAGATTCAGGAGTTCTTCCTTGAGGAAGAGTTTGTTGGACAACGATTTCCCTGCAAACATCTCTTCGAGCCTCTCCCATGTTTGCTTCGCTGTATCCTTTATCACGTTGATGAGCACCTCATTGGAGAGATAGTTTTCGATGGCTCCTCTGGCTAACTCGTTAAGAACTCCCCACTCATCATCCGTCATGCCTGCTGGCTTCTTCTCCTTGCCAACCAACACAACATGGAGTTGTTGTTATGTAAGAGCTGACTTCATCCTTCGTTGCCAAAGAGTGAAGTTCCCCTTCCCTGTGAAAGGCTTTAACTCCACCTTCATACTTGCT